AATCTATATATAAAAACTTTTATTACTACAACTACCTTTCTGAGATTCGCATTGCACCTCGTACGTCATTCAATGTCAGTCATTGAAAAAAGATCAAGCGTCCAATCAAATCACAGGTGACCCCGAAAAATTACGAACCAACTTTTAAAATGTGAAGAACGCAAGGCGACTTTCATGTGCATGTACATGCGTTGACTGTATCCCGTCAATACAATACTAGTCGAATACGTAGACTTCTACAGGGTCTTCTAAGTAATGCGCGCCGGGTATAATTCAAACCTCTGCCCCCATCGGTACCATTACCCCTAAAGCAAATCGTCTCCAGGAGACGAAATTCACGGGCTTAAAAAGAATGACGATGGCCACGGGCAACAACCAACAACCAACCGACAACCGCTTCCTTGTATCGATTATCGATCCTCAGCTTCCTTGTATCGATCTTCAGCTCTTTAGAAGACCACCTCAATCTCTGCAGTTTCTGCAAGATCAAGGATCAAGCTGGGAGATAAGGACAAAGGCTTCCTGTCAGGTAAACCTCGCACTATATTGCGTCCCGTTGCCACCATGGGTTTGCTTACAATCCTTCGCAAAGTCAAAGCCAAAGAGAAGGAGATAAGAATACTGATTTTGGTACGAACTAAATTTGCCCCCGGATGCTGAAAAAATTTCATCTCTGAGAGAATGGACAATGATATCTTACCAATGCTATCCCGGTACATTCTTGTCTTTATACAATTCTTTATTAAGGGACTTGACAATGCTGGGAAAACTACAATTCTTCGAAAGTTTTGTGGAGAGCCAATCGATAGCATCAGTCCTACGCTAGGGTTCAACATCAAAAGTCTGGAGCACCACGAGGGCTACACACTCAATTTCTGGGACGTTGGCGGTCAAAAATCAATTCGAGCCTATTGGCGCAACTATTTTGAAGCCACAGACGGCATAATATGGGTAGTCGATAGTGGGGATCAATTTCGCCTAGATCAATGCCGTCAAGCCCTCGTGGAGCTTTTGCAGCAAGAACGCCTAGCAGGGGCAACACTAATCATCTTCGCCAACAAACAGGACATTGAAGGGGCCCTGTCATCCGAGCAAATTGCAGAGAAACTTGGACTCAACACAAGCGACTCGTTCAAGAATCGGCACTGGGCAATTCACTCCTGTAGTGCCGTCTCGGGGGAAGGGCTGGCTGGAGGAGTAGATTGGCTGGTTGCTGACATTGCGCAAAGGATATTCATGTTGAGTTAGTCCATATCGAGCTACCGGTATGGGCTGGCCGACCTGCTAAATCACATTCAACTAGCTAGCTAGAGTACTCACAAGGCATTGCACTCGGTACAGTGCAACAACTTGGAATGAACAGCCATGCACCCTTCACGAAAAGAACATTGCATCCACAATGACAAATCATTTCTAGTAGCTGATATGAAACTCTATCGATGCTTATTATGTACGTCAGTATAGGAACGGATTGGATTGAATTGAATCATTCGGATTCTGTGAACAATTGGGGCTCCGGCTGAAAAAGACAAAGGTTGGGAAACCACTTCACGACAGCTTGGCTTTCTTCTTCTCTGCCTTTTGAGCCTTTTTGATTGCTTTTTGTTCCCAGGCGCTCAGATTTTTGATTTCTTGTTCCTCTTTCCATTCAATCAGATTGTTCATGATCCAAAGTTCCCGTTTGATCATTAACTCCCTAGTTTCGTCCGACGCGATATCCCAAGCCACAGGGCCCACAGCTCGCTCAGTCAGGACATCTTTCTCCTCGTCACTAAGCTCCTTCCCTTGCAGCCGGTTCGCATAATACTTTGCCTCCCAGAACGTTCCAACGGCGATTCTGTATGGAAGCTTTGCAAGACTGACAATCATCAAGTCCTTCCAGGTTGGTTTGTGGAATCCGCCGCCAAAATCCTCCATTTCCTCTACGAGCTCTTTGAGAATTGGCATCAAAGCTTCCAGCTCTTGTTTCTTCTTTTCTTTTCCTGATACTTTCTTGGTCTTTGCTTTCTTTTTGGATGCTGCTGGCGATGCTGATGCCTTATCGTCGCCATTGGTGGTTTCTTCTCCATTTTCCTCTTTCTCACGTTCCGCCAAGACTGCCAATGCATGTTCACGGAGTTCTTTGCTCTCAGGTGTTCCTCCCTGGCTAGCACTCCACTCTTCCGCTGCAGCCTTTACCAACCTATCTGCTACATTTTGCCATTTGGTCTTTTGTGCAAACCAAGAGAAAAGGTTGGCAACAACGAGGAGAACCAAGATAATCGCGGTCACATCGGATTTGGGTGCATAAGTCCAGAGAACTGAGGTTCCATACTTTTGGTAGTAGGCCTCCTGGTTGTATCTCATATAATCGTACTCTCTGCGCTTTTCAAAGTTGGTGAGAACTTCGTAAGCTCGGGCAATTTTCTAAAGATGGTCGACACAATGTAAAGAGAGTCATCAATCAAACAGCGTGAGAAAAAGAATGAGGGCACAAATTAACGGGTGGCATGCATCTTCTGCTTTCTTTATAAAAACTCACAACAAAGCGTTCTTTTGCATTGGGGTGCTTGCTCTTATCTGGGTGCCATTTTCGACTGAGTCTTCGGTAGTGCCTCGTGATATCCTTGGAATTGGGACTTCCTGATTCGTAGTCAAACCCCAAAATGCTGTAACAGTCATGCATGCCGCAAAACTCTGATTGAGGATCATAGTAAGGCCCCCACTTGTCGGGGTCTGCAGCCAGAAATGCTGGTTCTTCATCTTCCACTTTGGGTGCCTTTTCTGCTGGAGTTTCATTAGTTTGGGGTGTAGATTCATCTCCTTCATTGTTGCTGTCGCCGTTTGTCTCGGTATCAGCTTCCTGACCTGCCGACAGTGTCAAAACTAACAGTAGCAAGAGGATAACGAAGCGGCCGTTGCGGCCAAACCTCAAATAGTTCATTATCGTGTCTTCAGAGCGGAGCAAACAACTGCTGTACAGACCAACAACACAACCGAAAGAGAGAACAAATATAAATGGCTCTGAGGCGTTCGATAGACCAGTTTTCAGTTTTGCCTCCACGCGAAAAAGTGGATGGTTGCATGAGATCGGAAAGGTTCGTGGTGAGCGATCAAAGCACGTCATTAATGACTGCAAGACATTTACATGGCTTCTGGAGGTTCTGAGCTTGTTTCTTTTGCATCTGCCTCATGATCACCCGCACCCACACCAGCATGGAGGTCTGGGATTCCGTACAAAGCAAAGCAAAAGGTAACTGCACGCCGAAGCGTCTCATAGTAAATAGCTACTCGAGTAGTGGGCACTCCTATAGCCCAGTGCAATCACATTCTACATGTATGCAAGCCCATTGGATTTTTCGTTTCCTCTGGTGCTACAGTACGGTAGGTCAGTTCTAGGCCCCTCCCAAGTGAGATCCTTTCTCCTTTGTGTGGTATATCGGTAGGGGTCCTCTACCGTATGGCTCCGCCACTCGGTATGCTCGATAGTCTAGCTAGAGGGGAATAACCTTTAGAAATAACAATTTGTAAGTCTACATCGATATTTCTATGAATAATATGTATGCTTATACGACTATGCTTACTTACTTGCTCTTTTAATGAATTTGTCTTTGCAACTAATGAGGGGTGTAGAAAGTATTTTCAATCTGCACGTAGATGTTTGTGACAAGGCCCACAAGCACAGCAATGACACCAAAGATGATAAAGAACATGGCGATATAGTAGTCTCGAGTCAAAGGTCCAATCACTTCTCCACTGGGTGGCACGGTTGTGCAACCAGGACTTTCCTCTTCTAGAGCTTCAAGATTATGTCTCATGCCCAAGGCTCCTGCCGAAGCGATTGCCCGCCAGATTGGGAACCCTAGTAGCCACCACCACCATGGCTTGGATACAGGGTTGAAGGGTGCATCTTGGGTGTGTGTTTGGATTGTGGCACTCGCATCTCCTACCACTGGCAGTTCAATGGTTGGATCTGTATGTGACGGTGGTGTTTTTCCCAGAAGAATGTCTGTATACTCAATGAATGATTGTCCATGAACACCAAGGTAGACCAGACCGGGTCCAATGTAAGCGACACAACTTCCTCCCAAAGACCCCGTAATGGAAAGAACTGGCCCCAAATCGTCTACAAAGAGTGCTGGAATGAGAGCCAAGATGTACAAGAAAATGACAATCAACTCTCTTCTTCCGATACAAAAGAGCCACTTTCCAGCCGGGATGGTGTTTCCGTGTTCGTCGACAATGTCTCCCTCCGAATCACCGTTGAAAAAGATTTTGGCAACGACATGCCGAGCCACAAAAGATTCCATCGGGTATGTAAAGAACATGGTAATGGCCAAAAGTCCTCTTGCTCCATTGGCAGCTACCGTATCAGGATCAAAGTTGTTGAGAATGTTTCCCTGCGTCTCGTCCAGGAATCCCAAAAATCCCATGGTACCCAACAGCGAGCAGAGCACCAGGGCAATCAAGAGGGAGTATTTGGTGACAACAGACCAGGCTGTGGACGTTTTTTCCTGCATGGAACCGCTGACAATAAAAGCGGAATGTTGGCAAGCCATGGCTGTGCTAATGACTCCCAGACCAATGAATAAGCGTGAATTGATTGTGTTGGATCCCAGGACCTCCCAGAACCCTCCTGCTTCACTGACCGAGGTTCCAATCGGCGAATAAAGTGCAATAAAGATCACCAAGATGACATCCGCTGTGACTGACAAGAAGGATGTAAAAGACAAAGATGCCATATCTCTGAGCAATGCCAAGGGTAGCATAATCAGGAGTGATGTTATCACCATGACGAGCTCTCGTTCTGCAACGGCTTTTCCTCCAGAGTTCTCAATGCCAAACATGGTTGGTACGGTGTCTTTGATAATCAACATGTAGGCTACCATGGCACCATACGCCAAGATGAACATGTTGACTTGGACAAACAAAGACCCGTAGTACCCATACGGGATCTGCATCAAATCTTCGTATGTTTTCACGCCAACCATTTTCAGTTTCGGATGGTACCTGGCTGCCTCAATAATGATTCGGAGACTTTTGTCTGAAAAGAGGCAAATATGGCCATTGGGTTAGCTCTCAGTTCTTCACCAAAAATAAAATTGACAATAATAAACCCACCTGTCAAGTACGAAACCAACACAAGGAGGAAGAGCCCAACTATCAAACCGGCTTCTCGAAATGCATACGGAATGCCGATGATGCCTGCCCCCACGATACTATTGATGAGATTACTGATAGCTCCACCATAGCCTGACCTGGTCTTTGGCTCAGGAATGTCGGAGAGCATACGCTTTGGTGCTCTTCGGGTGGGTTGAGGTCGGTCCACCGGCACAGCGGCCATTTCACCATCACCGGGGTCCGCCATGGCTACGTAGTCTTGCGAGGATTCTATTGTTTTGGAAAATGACACTTCCTTCATGAGATCTTTTCCTTGCAGTACCACGGAGCACGGTCGTACGGTCGTACGGTCGTAACCAGTCAAAGCAGAAGCTCCACTCCACCATGCACCATTCCAGCACACCCAAGCAATTTGCTTTGTCCCATCCAGCTTGCGAATGATCATTGGTTTCATTCACGAGCGTCGGCCGGCCTTTCCTATGACCGTTTTTCGGAGCTCAAACTTGGCTCATCGCACTGTTGTTTCAATGCTTTCGGTCAGTGCATCTAGCTAGCTAGCTAGACTATCTGGCTAGCTACCTTCAGCAACGCGGTAGCTTATAACCACAATGCGATACTAGACTGGCACTCACCCCCATGGATACCGTACCGGTACATGTACCGGTACAAAAAGGCTTGATCTCGGGTTCGTTGCTATTTTCCATCGAGCTGCACCTATTCTTTCTACCGTATCTTAGCGTTCCAGGCTGCTACAGGTATCCAAATTAGATTATATCTCCAATAAGTCAGGATTAGGACTGTAGCAGAGCTCAAGGCTGGTAATTTTGGAACACTGGATGTGTGCAATAGGAGCTGGATGAATTGACTGTATTGGGGTCGTGCGGCATGTGCTATGAGACTGAATTTTTCTATCTGGGTACCAGTAAATTGGTTGGATTTTAGCTCTGCTGGTTCAATCTGCTGTCTGCTGGGCTGCTGCTGTCTGCTGTCTGCTGCTGCTGCTGATTTGCGCAACGGATGTTGATGTTGCATGATTGGAAGATTCCGGATTCAATTCCGGCTTGCTGAGCTTGTGGGAACATTAGCCAAAAGTTCGTAACCGATCGAGGTCTTTCAACCTTTAAAGTTACTTTTGCAAATACACGGCGAAGGCACAGCCAATAACATCGCTCATTCAAAGCCATCATCCCAAATTCCGAAACTGCCCAAACCCTCGTCACAACTTCACCATTCATTTCCCCCACTCTCGTCATTACAAGCGTGTTATCGGCAAACGATTGCATTCCACTTTCTAAAGGTTGTTGTGGACTTTAGCTAGCTAGCCAGTCTGGCCGAGGCATCGTCATCGAGATAACACGCGGAGCTGCTCCATCCCAGTCTGTGTCTGTCGTTTTGGAAAACGTTCTTTGAACCCACAAAAGACATCACAATCACCAAACCAAACCAAACCAAACCAAAACGCCAATCAACTATCACTAGTAGCTAGTTCTATCACCCATCACAACCGACAAGCAACCATGGCATCATCTATTAGTACTGTTACAGAGTCTGGGATGAGGGGATCAGAAGTATCAAGTAGCAGTAGACGGCATATCCGATGGCTTTCCCTCGGAATATTTGTAGCTTTAGGCTTGATGGCGCCAATAGGGAGCCAAGCATTTAGTCTCTCCATGACATCCTACAAGCCTCCTCTCAAAGCCATCACATCAAGACGGATCAACCAAAAACGACAATCGTCCACATCCAAGTCTGCCTATGCAGGTGCCTTGGCAGCACCGTCTGCAGCCAGCAGTCAGCTGCCGTTTGAGCAGAGAATGAGGAACTTGGTCATGGGGCAAGCACAGAAAGCCAAGTCAGAAACCCAGAGGAATGCTGCCACCGTAACATCCCCTGTCAAGACGATCAAGACGTTATCCGAATTTAGAGATGTTGTCGCCAATGAAAAGGAAAAGATTGTGGCCGTTAGATTTCATGCCCCATGGTGCAAAGTAAGTCAAATCATCAATTTGATGCAAACGGACTCTTGTGTGATTTGCCTTTGCTAACCTTTCGTTCGTTCCACTTGTGATTTCGTTCATAACAGGCATGCAAGGCAATGGCGCCATCCTATTACAGACTTGCCAGGCAAAACGAGAATACCATATTCATTGATGTCCCTGTGCTGCCAGAGAATGCCAACTTACACCAAGGACTTGGCGTACCATCTCTGCCTTATGGTCACATCTACCATCCCAATGGTGGTCTGGTGGAAGAACTTCGAATGACCAAGAAGCACATGCCAGAGTTTGCACAAACCTTGCAATGGCACATCGAAGGGCGCTGTGATTTAGAGTCACAGCCTCAGTCGCCTCGGCCTTGAGGCGACCAAGTATGATTGCTCGATGCCCCCCACTGCCCATCTTTGTAAAATACCAACGCAATTGTACAGTACAAAATTTAATACCGCTACGGAGTGCACGAAAAGGGGTTCAGCTCAATGTGATCCTCCCATCGTGCGCAAGCCCATGATGTAAAGATAATGTTTTAAGCGATGCTATCTATCTGTACCCTTCGCACCGTTCCTATAAGCTACCGTAGCTGGTGCTACCAGTACCTGTTGCTGCAGTTGTTGACCAATGCCCCAATAGATCCGCTTCAATTCGACTGCAAGTCTGGAAACGCCGTCAATCAGAGGGTAGATGGACTATGGTAGCGCCAAGAATAGTTTCTCCGCTCTGATGTCTTATCTACAAGAATACTGTGCCGGCTCTGACGTCAGAGCGACTTTTGCTTCATTCAAGGAAGGGAAAGGAAGAACTTCGACAGATCATTCTCGCAAACATCACAATCCTGGACAGCAAGCCATTGGCATTTCTTTGCCAACAACTATCGCCGCCGATCACCCGTACCATCAACATAAAGGAAGATGTCGGAAGAGACGAAGGAAGGGGCGAAGAAGGAGACGACTTCGGGGTTCAAGGATGTCTCTGAGTTTGGGGATCAAGTCCACGAGTCCTCTCATCCGGTTCTGCTGCATAAGATCACGATCCTGAGATCCTCGTCGACCGTCCCCTCCGCTTTTCGAGCCGTTTTGCGAGAAGTTACCTACCATTTGGCGTACGAAGCAACGAGTTCTTTGACCACCAGACCCGTCGCCATCACTGTTCCCATGGGGCACGAGCATGTCGAAGCATCAGGACAGAAACTGGTCGAGCGTGTTTCCCTCATTCCAATTTTGCGCTCCGGGTTGGGAATGGTTGATCCATTGCTGGAACTACTGCCCAATGCTGCAGTCCATCATATTGGTAAGAAGAAAGAAAATTGAAGACTGTTGTTTGGCCTCGATCTGCCCATTAGCCGGAAAACTCTTGAAGAATATCACCTGATTCTGATTGCATTGTCCATCTTTATCTGCCACAGGAATGTACCACATCTCTGGCCAACAGCCGGTCCAATATTTTAACCGTCTTCCCAAGCAACATGAATGCGACATTGCCTATGTCCTTGATCCAGTGGTGGCAACCGCGGCCACCATCATGTCGGTGATAGCCATCCTCAAGAAGGTAAGTGCTGGTGCTTGTTGTCTTGCTATACCATTATTAGTTGCTAGGTTTTGCAATTCCCTGACAACGAAGTGTTTGGAACACCATCTATCTGTGTTTGAAACATCATCTATCTGTCGTGCTACAAAAAGTGGGGAGTCAACAGGATTCATGTATTGACTGTCATTGCTGCCAAGGGAGGTTTGAAGACTATTTTGGATGCTCACCCTGATGTTCACATAACCGTTGGAACCATTGATGACAAGTTGTCTGACAAAGGCAAGGTGCTCCCTGGTTTGGGTGATTCTGGGGATAGACAATTCCACACCCCTTTGATTGACGATGAAGAAGCTCTTTTGCACCCTTCCAAGCGAAAGCGCTCGGTTGACTTGTGAGAAGTCTCCGTTGCAACATCGTCTGTGGTATCTGGTTTTGGCTATCTATCAACTTTATATTTTACAATACCTGCAGTTAGAACTGATCATAACAATCTAAGTTGTCGACCAGCCACTGTATATTGTAGCCTTTCGGCTGCCACAGCTGCCAGTTGAGTCCGGCTTCCATGCGGGAACAGAGGATGGCGAAGTTTTAAGGAGCTTTCTTCGCGGATGCTTTCTTTGACCCCTGCCTTCTTTTTCCTTTCTTCTTCTTCTTCAGTTTTTGCACTATCCGAAATTTGACTACGAGGTTGCCTCGACGCCCCAACTTGCGATTTGGCCATCCCTTGTCTTCCACAGTGACGACATTGTTGGTTGGGTTGATTTGGTTCGGCCGTATTCTAACTGAGACAGGTTCTTCTGTTGGGTTCAAGGGTTCAATCTCAATGCGGCATCCCGATCTCGCCTGCGAGGCCAGGATGTCCACGCTGGTGTGCAGGTCGTTGCCTACACGAGTGAATCGATCATGCTTCTCTTCTTCCAACAGAAACACTGTTTCGAACGTCTCGTCTGAAAAGATAATCTTTGTTCCTTCCTTGTAACCTGGTTGAATGTCGGCTGTGAATTGAACATGACTTGGCCGAGGAACATGAATGTGAAACACAAGAGCACTGAATGCCAACGTCAGGAGTCGGCTGATCCTCAGAGCTGGGGCCGCAAAGATGAGGCTTTGATACAGGATCAGGTATCCAAATCCACCTCTAAAGGCGGCGCAATACGATTTCCACAGGGTGTCGTGGACCTGAAGGTCCATACTAGACCGTCCGTTGTACAGATCCTGAAGAGGCACCTTAACTTTCTGTACAAACGTCGACTTGAGCGAATTGCCATTTCGAAACATAGCTGCCGTCCTTGCAAAGGAACGAGTAGAAAATACACTGTTCCCAGGTTGAAAATTGAAAGGTTTCCGTGGACCAGTATACTGTGGATTCCTGCCGTAGGCTCCGGCAAACGAACGATAGAAGGCATCTACGTCTTCATTTCGGAATTGATGCCGTGGGAAACCACCATGGGCGCCGCGACCTGCTTGTGGTGAAAATGCCGACCTCAAGTCGTAGGATCGTCGCGATTCAGCATCTCCTATCATATCATTGGCGGCCTGAATTTGCTTGAAACGCTCAGTACATCTAAGATGAGAAATTGCCACGGAACAAGTTTGGTTTGAGATGTGATGGGCAAAGAAAGAGGGAAACTTGGCCTTTGACATGCCATTCAAACTGGCTCACCTCTTTCTCGCGGAGGGGGATTTGTCGACAGTCTTATCTGGATGATATTTCAGGCAAAGCTTCTTGTATTGGGAGCGTATTTCATCTTGGGAAGCATCTTGGCCCAGCCCGAAAACTTTGTAGGGATCTCCACTGAAGCCCGTCGAAGCATCACAAAATGAGAAAGAGACGACAGCAAAGAAGACAAAGAGGACGCAGCGAAGCGAAGACATGACTTCCTTTGCTTCCCACCGTGATCAGGATCTAGCCAGCTAGTGTCGGCAAAGCAACTATGCATGAACCTCTATGATAGTCAATCGCTTTGTATCGTCGTCTGATGAGGCCATCGTACAACATCGAAGATCGCAGGAAGCCAGCACAGCGGGTTCTTTTAGACTAGCATTTCAGAGAATTCCAGCTTGAGGAAATGTGGAGGAATAAGGTTCACCTCTTGCTGTACTCACCAGGAAGAACACTGCCATGGTACCATACAGTGCCCCCAAGACGTGATTGATCGACCTGTGGGAACCTAGCTATTAATAATAGCTAGTAGGTATGAATTCAGAAAGCTATGCTAATATAGTCAGCTATCATCTATTATTTTGCATTCGTTGTTGAGCGAATTTGGACAACTTTTTCTTTGGCTTGCCTTCCTCTTTCCCGTTGCTTTGTGGGTTTTGAAGTCCAGTGATTGGGCGCTCCTTGACGACACCAGAGAAGACACTGCTATCAAAAGGTCTAGACTCGGCCCGTGGTGGCGCCGATGTTGTTGGTGGTGGTTTCCGTAGGCTCGCCACAGAATTGGTTCCAATCCTTGGAATTTCCCGCACCTCGGATACATTGGATTGGAAATGGACCTTTTTGGAACGTTCCTCCTTGCTGTCGGCTTGTGATACGTGTCCATCTGCTGAATCAGTGCTTTTTGTTGGTGGCGGCATTTTTTTGGCTGCGGTACTGCCCTTGGCTGATGGTTTTGATTTGTTGCTGTTGTTGAGAAAACCTTTGGACCATCCTCCTTTATCTTTAGTTGTCGCTTTTGGTTTTGATGGAGGAGGAGGCTTCAGCTGCGACTGGCTGCGGTCTCGTTTATTGTTGGATATGGCTGATGTTTCCACGATTGTGAGATCTTTCTTGTTTGTCTTGTTTTGTGGCTCAGCTTTGCCTTGGCTTGGCTGGGATAATTCTTCCTTGGGTGGCTCTTCTGTGAGCTGCTTGCGGGGTTCTGATTGGTCGTTCTTCGTGGGTTCAGTTGTTTTTGCGTTGACTGCCCTGTTGACGGCGGTTTGATGGGACTTTTTCTTTCCTCCTCCACCCAGAAACCCCTTTGACCAACCCTTGCTCTGCAGTTTCAAGGCGCTAAGCTTGTTCTCTGACAATTTAGCTTCAGTTTCTTCCTCCATCCTCGCAAGCTCATCCAACCGAGCCGAAATGGCTTTGTATTCTTCGTCATTGGGTAGGGCGCGAGCACTTTCATCCTTTTCTGGTAACATTTCCATCTCTTCTTTTGAAAAGACTCCGTCATTGCTTGTTGCGTTGTCGCCGGTACTATCGACTTTGGATTCCCCTAGATTTGACTCATTTTCTGCAACACGTTTGGCCACAAATTCCAGCTGCTTGGTAACATTGACGGCCTCTGATCGGACCACTTTCCCCGTCCCATCAATTTCTTCCTTGATCTCAAAGTAAGGCAGTCCAGTATCTGAGTCAGTGATCACGCTGGGGGGAGGCTGGTGCTGATTGTTATTTACATTGCTTGGGTTTGTCGTTGAATTGGTTACTGGCGTTTCTGTTTCGGTGGATTTCTTTCGCTTGCTTGCTTTGGCAGCATCCTTCCTTCGCTGCTTTTCGTTCTCTAGCTCTTCACAAACATCCTTTCGTAGAACAGCTCTGAGTTGACCCCCGAATTCATGACGGACTTGCACTGCTTCGTCGCCATCGGCATTCTTGACGGGCTGCAAAGATCCAATCACAAAGGCCTTGCTTGTCAAGGGTATCATCACATTTCTGCCACTGATCGGTTTGGCAATAACACCACGAAGCTCTTGCAATTGGCTGGAAGAAAGGGAGGGAAATCGATCGGACTCGGGCTCGGCATAGCTTTCGGCAGAATCATTTGCCTCCATTGTCGTCGCTTCTAGCAAACGAGAAGTCTCTAATGGCGTAACAAAGTTGGGGTCGGGTGGATGCTGTCGATGCAGTCAGTGGTGGGCGAGATCGAAGATTGACAGGTTTCAGATGTCAGAAAGCCAGCTAGCCTGTGAAGCTTTGGTGGAAGGGGAAAGCCAAGAAGCTAAACCAAGCATTCAATTCGGTCCCAACCTAATATAAAGGGCACCCAGACCAGTGCCACCATATTTCGTGACCTCTAGCCAGAGATGGGGAAGTCAATGAGTTTCTATAGAAATGGATTAATTGCTAGTGTATGAAAGCCAGCAGCAGGCCAACATTAGGGGAACAGAAGTCAAACAGAAGGCAAATCCGGGACAAAAGCCTTTTTAGATGAGACAGGACCAATTTTGTGGGTGGGTGATGTTGCCTTGGCATGAACTTGCAGGCAAAGATGGGCAACTAGTAGCCAAACTTTGGCATAGAACGTCATTTCGGATTCTCAGTGTTGAGTCTTCGGCTCTCTCCCGGCCAGTCTAGCTTTGCGTGCCATCTTATAGCACTGGACTCTGCGCAACATACCGGTAGAGATGAAACATATGATCATTGCGAGATCTGGGATCCCGGGCTCATCTCTGGTATTTGGCATTCTATCGTCCTTGATGAGCACAGTCACATGCGAGGACTTTGAAAGGGTCATGGAGCTCGGTAGGTGGGGGAATCCAATTGGGCATAGATATTTGTTTTTGGGAGTCCTCGGATCCCGGCGCTTCTCTCAAAAACCTGAAGTTAGCACCAGGGGCTCCGGGGCGCCATGATGCTGCAGGATTTGGCCGTCCGTCCCTTCCCTACCCTCTCCAAGTTCTGCATTGCGCCTGCTGAATGAACGAATCATTGAGAATCCATACAGATGGATGAACCACACATGGCCAGGCTACTGGCAACCCTGTCAGGTCAGCCACGGTCGCCGCAACGGAACCCACTTTCACCTCAACCTAGTAGTGATCGTATTGTGTGGTTGGACTTGGAATTTTGCTCTCTAAAAGACCATCGCGTCCTGGAGTGTGCCGTAATTATCACTACCTGCAATGCCCTTAGGGAGGTTGCTCGCAAGAACTGGATCATTGGAATGACACCAGAACAGATTGATCGGCTGGTCATCGGAGGAGCTGCGGCGACCTTTCATGCTGCTCACTCTCTGCAAAATGGACTCGTTGATGCTTGTTTGGCGTCTGAGACCACTTACGAGCAATGGCAACGGGAGCTGTTCGAGTTCCTAACAACCCACTGTTTTTCGGGATGTCGACTCGCAGGTTTCTCTCCGCACGTGGACCGAGAAGTACTACGAACACAGGCCAAGAATGTTTATGAGTTCTTGGATCACAAGATTATTGATATTTCCTCCCTTGATATTGTGCAATGGGGGCTTCCGGCGTTGGAAAGAGCGGCACGGAGGCAGAACTGGAGCCCCTCTTCCCATCGAGCCATGTCAGACTGTGAAGATGCCATTGCAAAGCTGAAATGGTATCAATCCTGGTTGAGAGATCATATGAGAGACGACACCACGAGCCATGACGGAGTGACCCAGTTGTACACCTTGTAATGAGACCTTCTAAGTTGTCTCTGTTCAACCGGTATCGGTACTGGTAGCTCGTTTGAAGCTCCTGCAATAAAGTGATCCATCAATCATCATAGTACCAGCCTGATTCATTCTGGTACCAGTCCTACCGGTATGCATAGTTGGTGGCTAGCCTGCCAGCTGCATTTTTTACAGGTACCTTCCAAAGGTAGTCTACTGGTATCTATGTGGTCCTACTAGTAGCTTGACAGCCAGCAACCTGTACGACTGTACGTCACCCTTTTCCGGCTCCAATCGGAGGGGAAGAAGACTATCGCCTCTACACAGCAGTGTCAGCAACTACATCCTGGCTACTTGGTACCAGTGCAGTCAGCTGGGTACCGTACCAATACAATAAAGCATACAAAGGGCTGCAGGAGGAAGTTCTACATACATTTACGAGTAGTTCATTTCTCTATTGTCACACCGTCTCTCTCTAGTTGTATACCGGTATGATCAGGTGGCTCCACTTGCAAAAGCCCAGACCCCCACAACTAACTGACAAATAATTTATTCATTTCATTCGATCATCCCCGTTGGTGTCGTTGCGCATGTATAAGTGTTAGAAGTATTTTGCGCAACCTGCCTTGCCGCCACATTCAAAGAGTTTGGACGTGTGCTCTCCCAGACGTCCCGAGATGCGCTTGTCAAGGCTGAGGGCAAACTTGAGTTTCATGTCGTTCCAATGGCGTCGAAGTCTTTTGGCATCGTCCTTGCCGCCTTTGCTATCCTTGAGGAAAACAAGAGGGTCAAACTTGGCCGAGGACAGCAGCCCTTCCACAGTATCTCGAATGACGAATCTGGCTTCATAGAGCGAGACTCCCAAGTCGATGCAATAGATCCAAGCCATGTAGCTGCAAAGACGACCCATGCACTTGACAAGACGTCCAGTCTCCGTGGCCACAAAGGTTTGATCATTTGACCTCGCATGAGGAGGAATGCGATCCAATGACGACGAGTCTACGGCTGGTGCCGATGGGAACGCCAAGTCGCTGGACAGGTAATGACCATAGTAAATCAGGACCGAAAAGGCTGCTCGCACAGCCAGCTTGAGAACTTGAGCACCGCCAGATTTCAAAATATCCCGAGTCAAGTCTTTCTCCAGGAGTTCCTCTTTGAAGCGCTGCATGTCCGCTCTCAATGTCTTCTCATCGGCGGAGTTTGCAGTAGGACCAAAGCGCCGGTATCCCTGCAGCTGGTGTTCCAACAAGTGGCAAAGGAGGGATGCGGAACTGGTTTTCACACTCAGAGTGGGTCCCACGCGAAGGAGTGCAGCCGAGGTGACACGGCTTTCGTCTCCCTCAACGCAATAGATCACTGCGGGATTCTCAATCTGCTCAAGAACCTCATGCGTGAATGCTGCATCGAGAACTTTGGCAAGCCGTGGTCCCATTTGCTGGTGTTTGGTTTTCAGCAACAGCTCGAGGTGCCTGTTCAACATTTCGAGGCGAACACAATCTGGGAAGCGAGTCTTTTTGAACAGTGGTCCCTTCGAAAGCAGATCAACCATGTCTCTGCACATGTCATCGTTGGGGATCTTGTTGTGAAAGTTGGTCATTTTGAAAAGTAGTTCGGATCCGAATGAAGCCTCCGATGAGTTGAGAGCTCTCCAGAAGGAGTATCGGATGGAATTGGACATGTCTCGGCATTGCACCAATGCTTCGGCCTCATCCTCATCCTCATTGCCGTCGTCTTCCTCGTCTGAAAGCCAAGGATCCAAGAAAAAGTCGTTCGGGCTGAGTGGCAGAGCGGGTCCTCTACTGGTGGATGGCTCTGTGTCAGAGGTCGCGACCACTTGCTTCTTTGGAGCTCGCTTCCGCGTGCTTCTCTTTGGGACGCTTTTGGTTTCAGCAGTCTCTGGCTCCTGCGCGGCGGTCTGTTTCCTTGTTGTTCTAGTCGGTTCCAGCACCATATGGGACGGCCAGGCATGGAATCCGTTTCTTGCTTTCTTGGCGGTTTGCTTGACCTCCGCGAAAATCTCCTGGGCCACTTGCTGGTAGGATTGTCGTGAGATGGAGCCAGTTGCGACATGTTTCAGTTCCACCATGGTTTCGTTGTCTGGAATCACCTTGATGGTGTGATTGGTTTTCCGGTTGGATCTTCCACCTGCGATTTTCAATTCCAATCCTTCCATCCACTGCTGATGGACAGATCCATCTTCCAATAGAAAAATTTTGCCTTCGCCTATTGGGACACCGTGTTCATAGTCGCCGTCGTCATACGCAATTTCGCAGAATTTGCCATTGGAGCCGACACAAGCAACCCTGCCTCTGAATCGTTGCTCCTGATTGCAGTAGTTGACGAGTACAAGGTCTCCGATATCCACTTTTGCAGGGTTTTCTTCTCCAGCAAGAGCTCGAGACACCTCACCAAAATATTGGCCGCCGTCCTTTTCGATCACTCGTTCGACTGTTTCGTCCTCTGCGCAATACGGCAATACTTCGGTCTCGCCATTGTCGAAAAGAACTGTGAAAGTAAGGTTTGACTTCCCTTTTGCGTCTTCCGGAATGGTCAAAACTGTTCCATGCCAGTAACCTTGAGCTCCTTCTCTGTCTTTGCCAAAGACGTCATCGCCTCGATCGAAAAAGACGCGAATGCGATCGTCGACGGCCAGAGGACGAATTTTGGATTGTTCGGGTGTGATAGTTTGACGACACTTCGATTTTGTGTCCTTCTTGGCCGATCTCACCACCAAGTCAATTTCTTCCACGGCTGTTCCCTTCTTCTTGGCCACGACGACGACGGGCGAAGAATTTGTATTGGCAGCTCCATTCTTCTTCTGCTGGTTCAACGCGGTTGCCAAAACCTCTCCAAGAGGCTTGCGTCCCCGTGTGCGTGGTGGACTTTTGCTGGGTGCCGCTCGCATCCTTTTTCCTTGACGACTGTCACTCTCCTCCTCCTGAGACAAGTCCAACACCTTCTGGCTTCCTGTCGGCATGATGTTTTGCTTGTTGTTGCTGTTCACCTTGCTGGAAGGCGAATCCTTTCGCTTCGATGTGGCGTTCATGCGACGTGTTTTGACAGGAGACAAGAGATCGATAAGAGACGACATGGGAAGTCCGAGAGGAGAGAAAGAGGTGCTGTGCTAGCTTCTGGTGTTGGAGAAGATGAGGTTGTTGCCTTTGCCGTCGATCGATCGTTGGCTGGATTTTCATGAGAAATAAGTTAACTCGCCAATAGAATGGGCCCCAAGGGGGGCTAATTGGGGGGGGTAGATTTCAAATTTTGAACTTTTTGAACTTGCCGCCAAACGCACTCCATCCAGCCAGGACGAGTTTTGAAGTGAAGATACCAGTATGCCATAGAGACGGGCTAGCTATCGGGACAATGAAAGGCTGCAAGCACCAAAACAAGAATGGAACCGTACAACCGGACGTACCAGTGCTGGCCGTTGCTTCGATTTAGTAGCTCTAATCTATGTATGTATCCACGGGTGGCTGGCAACCAAATCACTGTACAGTGTAGGGATAGGTATCGTTGCAATTAGCTGCTGTAAGCATATTAAGATTTTTTGTCATCCCCGTCGTTGGCACTGATTGCCAGCTATCTAGCCTGGGTTTTTGAAGCTCACAAGTCGCCCAACTAGAGGAAGACAGACTATGTGCTGTTCATGTTTACAGTGCCGCCCCACAAAGCCTTCTTTGTCCTTTTCGCGCTCACGATATATACTGTCGGTGAGGATCTGCTGGTGACGGGTTTGGATCGATGTTGGTCGGCGGTGTTGTGCGAAGGCAATACGTGGCTGCAAATGCCTGTATCCCAGGGGGCACCACTAAGTCGCCCAGTTCTGCATTGCTCAGCTTTGTTTAGCGTCGCCTTAACCCCCTCAAAAGCGACGACGACGATTCATGAGACGAGGGAAAAGACAAGCCAACAACCCTTCCTGCGCGATCGTACGCGTCAATCGCAGACCTCCTCGGGTTCTCAGAATGTCAAACAACACCTTTCTTCTCTTGTAACCAGTGATCAGGGCAGCATCATCCAGCAGCTTCGCCACCTTGGCATTGTCAACGCGCCCAGTTTCCTGCGACCGTATCAGGCCTTGTAGTGTTTCATCCACAACGGGGCTGTTGGATGGGTTTCGTAGCAGCCGATTGAGTGCATATGGATACACAACCTGAAGCACGCTAAAGGTCGGATCCAAAGATCGGGCAATACCCTCAAGGGTTGACAAGGCCCGCGCATTGTTCAAAAAGTAAGGGGGAAGATCAAACCGGAATCTTGGAATTAGGCGAGACAGCGAGTCCAGTAGTTTGTCGAATCGTAGTGAAGGAATCTGAGTGTCGTCGGATGATTGACCTCCTTCCGGGTAGATCAATACCTGGTCAAACAAGTTTTCCAGCGACTGTTCTAACGCAGCCATTTCGGATGGACTATTGACAACATCGTCTGGAAGCAGTTGCAGCTCTCCAAACAGTCTTGCCACGCTTTCCACATCACGCGCAAACACCAGATTTACCACCGCGCAAATGAGTGCATCCCTTACTTGTTCGTCGACTGTGCTGAGCATACCAAAGTCGAGGTACGCCAGCCGAACCTCCTCCTCATTCTTCTGTTGGTTCCTGAAAACTGCAGCTTGTATTCTTCCTCGGATCTTTTGAAAGCGTCCTTGTTTACTCTGAGCCTCAACACTCTTATCAGAGTCGGATGTTTTTGATCTGGCCACCTTTAGGAGATTGCCACCTTTAAAAAGCAAGAAGAAGAAACGTCAACCACAATCTAAAGTGCGCGGTTACACGTTTGCCCACATCAACATACCGTGAGGGTCCGCATGAAGAACTCCTGTCAAACGAGTCACAAGCCGTGAGAGGAAGTCGTGAGTAGACGAAGAGCGGACAGCCAGTTATAACAAGCACAGCTCACCTGTTTCCAACAACTGCGACAGAGTGCAGTCGATACATAGCTGCACCAGTGCAAGATTCTCAGCAACAATCAGCTGATCGGCAGTGTCGTCTCCTATATGGCCATCCTCATTGACAACGTTTGTCAGTTTCGTCCCCTCTATGAATTCCATAATGATGACATTGTCCGTGCACAGATCCAGCAGGACTTCTGGCACAACCACTTTCACGTTTTTTGAAGTCCCCCGTCGCACGGAATAGAGACTAGCAAACTTGTCCATGTTCAGAGCCTCATTACGATAGTCCAGCTCTTCATATAACCGAGACATGAATTCGTCTACTGAGCTCTTCAATTCAGTGGCAATGAGCCGATCGGGTTGGTGCAGGTTGTCGTCTTTTGCAGTAGTAGAAGGGATCGGTATAGCAGGAATAGACTCGAGAAAAACAGCCACAGATCTCAGGAGCTGAGTATCTCGATCGACAATTTCTTTGATCCCGGGCCTCTTCACCTTGACGGCTACCTTTCCATAACCTGGTAGGAAACCCGAGAACACTTGGCCGACTAAAGACCACGCAAAAACGAAATGTTAGAATCTCAGACCGGCAAGTACTAAAATAACTCATCCAGGCAAGAAGCTCCACTCACCGCTGGCCGCAGCCACTGGTTCCTCGGAGAGGCTCTGCAAAAAATCGTCTAGCTGTGCTGGATTTGCTTGAAAGAAAGTCGAAGATCCCGACTTTGACAGTAAATCCCTTCTGATAATTTCCTTGGCAGTATCACTATCAAATGGTTGCATATCATCCTGTAGTACACTCAAGGCATCCGCCAATGCTTTGGGTACGATATCTGGGCGAGACGAGACTGCTTGAGCAAATTTCACGTAGGTTGGCCCCAGGGACTCACAGCAAGCCGCTAGCCTCTGTGCATGATTGAGTTCTCCTCCATTCCATCGTTGCGACCAGAAGGAATTCCAGTCTTCGGGGATTCCTTCCGAGAACAGGGAGGCCACCACGGGCTTGAGGAAGTCTCCTCCCACGACCTGAGTGATTTCGATGGCCCGGTTGGTCGTCACAGAGTTGAAGGAAACGGATGATGGGCTTGGACTGGTCGTCATGTCACCGATCGATGCCAGCACTTGGGCGACTTCCTTGTCGCTGTTGTAATCAAAGCTGTTTGTGGATGCTACCCTTGCCGCCGAGGACAACGCCGATGAGAAGAAACCAAGGCAACCATGCGGTCCTGACAAGAAGAGAAAGAAAATTGCGGAGGCGGTCCATTCTCGTCGACAAATCCGCATCGTGGGAAAAAGACCAAACACCAGGAGATGGGCAAGATGGCGATACAAACAACAATGGAGACAACACTACAAGTAAATCAATCCTTGACAACAACAAGACATGTTTGCTTTTGGACTGTCACTCTTCAACTTGGGGTGACGTGTTGGTGGCAGCTGACGTCATCTTAATCTCTAGCCCTATCCAAAATCATCACCTTCGTTTCGTTCACGAACGCGACAGCATCAACTCAACTCCCGCACCAAACACCCCTCGACCATGTCCACGACGACACGACAACCACAACCATCAACACGACGGTGTCAACATGCTTATTCAAGCCATGACATGCCACTACAGCCACTGTAGTACATAGTTTTCAGGGTTATCAGGTCGGTCGGTAGGGATCCATCACGACGTGAGATGCTTCGACAGTACCGTTTTTTGCTCCAGTCTACGCTCATCAGTGACATTTTTCGATGGTGCGCTCCCCCTCATTTCTTTCGCTCGCCTCATTCTGAGCTCATAATTTCCACTTGCAAAAGTTGTGAACGCTTGAACGAACCTATGTCAAAATTTTCAATGAACTCTGTTTCCTACACCAAGCAATCCATGACAATGACACCTGCCAACAACAAGAAGAGATCCACCATGATGACTCCAGCGCGCCGCGTTCGAACTTCCCGTCGTCACATGCCAACCATGACCATGGCGGCTCCCGATCGCTTCATCCCCAGCAGAGCCAAGACAGATGCCTCCAAAGTACGACGAGCGTTGTTGGCGAACGGCGCATCGTCCAAGTCCGAGGATGAATGCTACAACAAGCAGCTCCGAGAAGTGCTCTTTCAAGACGATGCCGAGAACGATCGTCTGTTGCACTTCTCCTCTGCCACAACCACAAAGCGCGACGCCTTTCGCACACAAGCGGGGACCATTCAAAGTCCATTTGTGCATGGCGTGGGTGCAAACGTTAGCAACTCTGTCAAGAAAGCAAAGACCACGCAGCAGAGCCGAATCCTTCCGCTGCGAAAGCTCGACGCTCCAGGCTACTTGGTCGACAAGGGCCTCCGACTCATGAGTTCTGGTCCATCGCTCGCCGTTGCACTTCACGACCGACTGTACCTGTGGAATGATGGCAGTGTCCAGTGTGTCAATGATACCGACGACGACGACGAGTGCATTTCCTGTGTCTGCTGGTCACCCAATGGCAAGTATATTGCGGTGGGCAAGAATGGGAGCATTGAAGTGTGGTGCCCCAAACGGTGTCAATTGGTGGCCAAGGCAACTTTCTATCAGCAATCGTGGGTCACAGCCATTGCATGGCACTCGTCTTCCAATCAACTGGTCGCAGCCAACGCGGCTGGAATCAACCGCTACACCATTTCGGACAACTCGGTATCGCTGCAGCATGTGGCACGATACAAGGGACACGGCGACTGTGAAAGTGAAGTAGTCCTCTCTCTTGTGTGGACTCCAGATTACTTGTTCAGCGCAGCCACCGACGGAGAAATCCGAATCTGGGAGAAGAAACAAAAAGTGGATGAAACCATGTGGATGGCACCCATTCCGCCGGTCCGAATTCTAAAGCAGCCGGGTGTCGCCAAGATCAAGGCCCATCCCATGCAACCGCATCTTCTCTACTGTGGCGGCGACGACGGGATCGAATGCTATGACGCGCGCAGTGCAACCAAAGTCCCACGCCGATGCATTGAAATGCAGGAAGAAAAGGTAACTGACTTCGTCTTGTCGCCCTTTGACACAGATGAGTGTGTGGTGGCCGTCGACAATGAACTTACACTGTTTTCGTTCACTCGCAATTCCAAAGTCATCGAACGATTCTATTCGAAGGAGAAGATTGGCGACTATCTCTGCTTGGATGGCGGCAAGGATGGCACGGTTCTCGGTGTTGGCGAACAAGAGACAATTGCCATGATGAAAGTCTTCCGACGCCCTCGAAAGGTGGCTGTCTTCAAGACATCGGCGATGATCAATGGCTTGAGCGGAGTGCGATAAGTCACACTGCAAAGGAAACACTTGATACTTTAATATCACTCTAGAAATACAAAACAATTATAGATAACAAACATTACAAATCAATTCACATTCTACTTCCATCGTACATGCATTTTACTAATAGTTTCGTTAGAAGTGACCCACTGTAGGCTCGGGTCTCTCTTCATCTTTGTACATTAGGTCAGCATAATATTTTCTGCCATGCGACTATTGTTGTCGTTATCATCTCGTAGCGACGAACACTGTGGACTCATCGTTGGCGAATGGCTTATTGGCGGAGGGTAGAGGTTAACATCCCAGCGAGCACCAACATAGCGCTGGTTCCAGAAGCCGTCCGTGCTGGTGAATCGTCCTGGTTGGATTCCTTTGATGGTGAGGCCATTGATACCACCCCAGCTGAGACCGAGGTCGTAAACATGAGGATTGTTATTGGCGAGTTCAACGATCAAGTTTGCAGCAGCGTCGTCAATTGCAAATTCCTGGCTGTAGAGGCCGATGCTCAAACCGTAGCGCTCCTTGTACATTTCGATTGTGCTTCCTTCGGACCAAGACGACGATAGTGTCATGGACGGCGACATGGTCAGAGTTTTCGACGATAACATGACGCGATTAGCTTCATGCATTTTCCTTGTCCGACCGAATGGAAGGATGCGATAATTTCGCTTGGTGAACTCTGGATCGAAGCCAAGGCTACAACCGGGCTCGGGATTGGTCCCTTCCCACAGCAGGCTACCACCGTTAAAGAAAACCTTGTCGCCGTACCGGATCTTTCCATTGTGGCAAGCCCGTTGAAGGTCTCCAGCGCTGTGGCAGAAGACTACCTCCATGAGAGGTTCCGAGCAGAACTTGCTGATGCCTCTGATTTCATCAACTGCAAAGGAAGCAAGGCCAACGACACGAACTCCTGCGGCTCGCAATGTGTCAACCGCACAAGCCCAGACTCGTTTCGAAATGTATCTTGACTTGATATCGAGAACGATTCCAACCGGACACTCAGCATCAATCCGCTCGTCTCCACGACGTCGCAGGATTGACTGGATCGTGGCTACCGATTCTGCAATGGAAGAGTCCGGGAACTTTGCCTCTGTCAGGGCATTCAAACTGGTGCTCATGTAAGAGTCGACATTCTTGATAGACGCCATGACATCAGCTTCGCCTGCGGAAAAGCTAGCAATAATTTCGTTGTCATCGCACAACCCAAGCTTCAAGGCTTCTGCATAGACAGCCATCCAGTGCCGTAAGTACATGCCACCGCCAAGAGTCCTTCGAGTTCGTTTGACTCTCGAAAAAGTATATCGCTTTGCCAGTCCAAATTGTTCATAGATCAAGTGGGTGAGCTTGCCATGCGCAATCAACATTTTGTCAACCATAGTCTGAGCTCGTCCCTCGAGTTGATCCGCGTAGTATTTTAGAATTTGGCGCTGAGATTCGGTGAATTCGATCCGCGCCCCAATATGTTCACTATTCATGGCTGCTTCATTGATTGATTCAAGCCAATCTTCCAGGCTCAGGCCCAATGGTTTGTGTGTTTCATAGAAGGAGTAGTGCTCCATAGGCAGAATGGAAGAGAGGAATTTGTCGCGCTCGTGCAGTACTGCTTCCACTTCTGCAACTTTGTAGGGGTCCAAAAAGACGTCCCATTCAAGGTTGGGTGTTGTAAAGACGCGCTGTTCGTTTGTACTGGTATTATCGGCGTTTGTACAGGTATTATCGGCAGTGGCTGCGTCTGTGCCGCCAGGGGCGTCATTGATTCCAAACTCCAAGCTGTGGGCAACTCCATAGGCCGCCACAACCGGGTTGTTTTCTGCCCAATGAATGAGTTTTGACGCCGGAGCGTACGCGACACGACGAGAAATCTCGACATACACATCAGGGAGAAGATGCCTAATCACAATGATTGATTGATTGATTGGGAAATTAGTTAGGGACGATCAATAAGGACACGTCAACCACCAGAGCCCATCTTCCAACTAACCATACTGCATAATGCTTGACGACGTACGTACCTGAGGATTGAAATCCAGTGTGGATTTGCCAGCATAAAGGGCGCAGCTCCAAAGAATCCTCCGTGACTGTATGGCATGTGTCGAATAGGCCCACTGCGCAGAAGCACTTGGTCGTGCATGATGGATTCTGTTTGGGTAGTGGGCCGAGTGTGAAAGGTCCTTCGCCTCCGTTTGCGTCGTGAATGCAGATTGTGGTTGATTTCGGGATTCAGATCGGAAAAGCTGGACATGGTATCCGATGCTTGCAAGAACGCCATCATGGCCTCATCATCCGAGCTCGATGTCGATCCACTGCTGCTGTTGTCGGTTTGGGAATGCTCCACATCCTCCACATTTCCACAAAATGAGTCGCAGGGAGAATAGCACAGCGATGCTGGACCGCAAAAGTCATCTTGTTGTTCCTTGGTTGTTGTTGTTGTTATTTGCATTTCCGTGGCTGCTTGTTGTTGCTTTTGTTGTTGTTCTTTGAGTAGTCTTTCTTGCTCTTGTTTGATTTTTTGTTTTTGTTGTTGGTGTTTCTTTTGGAACATTTTATGTGCTTTCATGAGTCGCTTCTGTACACGTCTCTGCATGAGTTCGTTGCCTCGCCTCATGAGTCGTCCCAGCAGTGTGTTTTGATCCGTTTCTCGGACGGTCATTCGTCTCCTAGCAGCATCGTTTTGGTATTCTTTGGACCCATAGGGAGCTCTAAACCATACATGTCGGCGTCTTCGCACCATTCGAAAAGTGGAGAGGGAGAAGAATGCCGAGAGTGCAAGTCTTGTCACTCGGAACCAAAGGTCGTCCTCTCCTTTAGCAAAATTGTATGGTTCTCCATGATGTTTATGTACATGAAAGAGGTAATGGACTTCTGATAGGACCAAATAGGCGAGTACAAATGATCCCACCGTGTAGAATGTATGTCCCAGAATGTTGGACGTCAAGTGTGTCCATCCAAAGACTCTGTTCTCCAGAGCTCGTTTCACTTCAAGAGGAATCAAGTCCTCGTAGGCTGTTGCCTCCACAGTGTCTTCTATTCTGTCCACTACATCCAAAATCTAGATCAAGACGCACGTGAGATAATGCACACAATACGTTCTTCAACTGTATAGTGAGAGTGTTGTTGGACAACAACGTACCGGTTTTTCATCTAGAGCGGGAAGATCGGCACAAGAATTGGAAGCATGATGCAAGGGCATCATGGATCTCGACCTACCCGTCATTAACGTAGGTCCTCCTATTAGCAAAGGCGTGTCCTTCTCGGATGCCATGATGGTACCGGTACTGCCATAGTCATCTTGAGGATTGTTTGGGTTGAAGTGCATTGTGGACATTGCTACTCCAGAGTCTAACGAGCGCGTCTTGACTATGGGACGATGATGTTGAGGAACATCATTGGAAAGAGGAGGAGAAGGCAAGTCTCCAGTTGAGCAGAGGGCAGCCGTGTCCGCAAGAGGAGTGCCTGTAGATCGAAGCCGTCGAACGTGTGCGGTATTTGCCGTCGTCAGAAAGAAGCTTTGCCGAGCCGACGACTGACGCTGTCGCTCCCTTCTATCATTGTACTTTGATCCTGATAACATCTTATGTATTGTGGTGTGTACGATCACGACGAGAAACCAGCCTCTACTTGCCCGCCAGGTACTAGCACTTGATACTGCCGTAACAAGCTACCAAGTCGTATTGAACCTATCTGAATGCGTCGTGCTTGGCATGCCACAGATTCATTCGATTCTGTGAAACCAAGAGATTCATCTGCCGTGATCATCATTCAATTTCCCCCCGCCAAATTTCTCGTCCCTTGCAAGAGTGGATCGGAATTCGCTGACACGTCAGCTTCACTAAATCATCCATCACCTCCGACTTCAACAGCCTTGAAAGCTTCAAAGCTTCAAGGACAGCGGCTCGTTCCGCGACTTTTGCGGGCGCCATTCTCACTCCTAGGATTCAAAGCATTAGCAACAACAACACGGAAGCATCATGACGACGACGACGTCGAGCAACAGGAAAAAGTCTCCCTTGGCCCCTTTGGCTCCCGCCTTTTCTGGTTTGAACTGGGTAGCATTTGGCGGATGGCTGTACGTCCTGGTGAGTCTCATGGCTTCTCTACTCGTCTCCTCGGACACACAACAAGAAACACTCTCCAAAGTTCGAATGCCAACCATTGCCTTGGAGGGGATATGTGTCATTGAAGTACTCCGAATTGCATTGGGAGATGTACCGGGGAATATCACACTCGGATCCATACTGCACACCATCCGCATCACTGCCATTGTCCAAGTGCTGCCGAGAGCTGCCGCCATACAAGAAACCAACAACAGTTCCTGGCACGCCGTCACGGCAGTTCTATTTTCGTGGGCCGTCACCGAAGTATCCAGGTATCCCATGTACATGTTCCCCACAAACAATCTGGCTCGATCCATTCGAATGGTCGTGCCATTGGTCACATTCCCCATTGGAGCCGTGGCTGAATTTGCAGGCGCATACACGGTCATGGTTTCCGATACCGATGTGCCCCTATGGCTACAATTCCTATTGGTCGTCATGATGCTCGTCAATGGAGCTCTCGGACCATATCTGGCATATCCTCATTTGTTAAAGAAAGGATTGCCTGTTCTGGGGCTGGCAACAACACCGGGAGATAAAAAGAAAACACAATCCACCACTGCTGGTAGCAAAACAACAAAGGGAAACAAACCAAACATCAAATCTTGCTAAACTTTGTCTACTTTTTCATGATGATGGGGTGGCTGCATGCATGTTCAAGTCTCCAGGTGGACACAGTTTTGCAACTACAATTCATATTGTTGTGCGATATTTGGTTCTTGCTGCTACCTTATATCAAACGATGAAAGCTTGTCCTTTGAGAAAAGTGATGATGACAAGGATATTTTGCCGTTTTCAATGTGTGGACTACTGATGGTGTTCTTCAATGCAGACCATCTGCCTTTATTCAACCAAAGAAGCTGGCTCTAGATTGCCTATATCCATCAGTCAACATATACCAATTATCATAGGAATGTACCAATTATAGTATTGCTACTGTACCGGTACCTGGTATCTAACTAGCTAGAATGCTCATACATGGCGACAATAGCAATACCAGGTAAGTTTCGACGTCTTAGCATGAGCGCTGAAAATGAAGGAGCCACCAAAACCACTTGAGGAAGTCGATCCTTCCCTGCCCTTCTTCAATGTACTATAACCCCATTGGGGGGTTTGCGGTGTGGCTCTAGCCAGCCACGCAGCGCCTTTTTCCAATCATCTTCATTGTTGCTGTCATTTAGCTAGCCAGCCAGTGGACTAAATAGAGCTGCATGGATACAGTACACAGCTGTCTGGCAACTCCTCTTGGAGGGCCTTCACAACCACTGTACAGGAGCTCCTTTTCTATTACTTTGAGTGCCGTAAAGAATTAGTACAGTAATCTTGTCACAATGGAGAGGACCGTGACGTGTTCAACGTCGCCTCATGCAAGCTGCTGCCAACAATGGTTTTCAGAACAACGTGGCCTCAGGTTGTCATGTCGATGCATGCAATGGAATAGGCAACTTTCGCAACTAGAGTACACTTTTCTCTCAGAATCAGAGATAATCAATCCCAAGATGAAGTCCTACTTGAAAGCCTCTGGTTGGGCTGTTGTGTTGGCCGTTCTGGCCAATGATGGTGTCGATGCCTTTCAACCAATGACGCCTGCGAGCGCCAAGCAAAGCACGGCTCTTCAGATGGGTCTCTTTGACAACTGGTCTGCAGGCGGGTCAGGGAACAGCAAGGACGATCTCGATGAACAATGGGAGCGCCAGCAGGAGATCCTTCGCAACCGTCGAGCGCCCAAGGAAGAACGTGACAAGTACTTTGACAAAGTTGATGCACGAAGAAAGGCAGCCACTGAGAAGCAGCAGGATATGTGGGCCTGGCAGACGAAAAACTACGCCAAGGGTGAAGATCCTATCGATGAATGGAAAAAGCGACGTGAGGCAGGAACTATTTCCGATCTCGATGATCAGGTGAGTGCAAGGTGGAGAAATATTGTTTCGATTCTTCTGATTTCTAAGAAATGAGGGATGTACTAACGAATTGTCTCTGCAACTCGATCCCAGTATGGTGATGAATCGAAGAAAGGAGGTATTCCACTTCCCATGGCATCGTTCGGAGTTGGTGGAGAGTTTGGAGTAGGTGGAAAGTTTGACAACGGTGAGTGAAGGTGGGCATTTTGACTATGTTAACTAAAAGAAAATACTATGGCAGCTCAACCTTGCCGAATGAAAACCTGTCTCTTGTTCTGAATGAAAAAGGTGGCCGCTTCGACCTTCGGTTACCCTATGCGGATCAGGGATACGTCGACGAAGACGCAGACTTTATGAAGAAAATCGGAAACATTTTTGGAGGTGGTAAGAAAAAAGCAACTGAAACTGAAGAACCTGCCCCTGTGGCAGAAGAACCACCCAAGAAAAATAATTGGCCATGGTAAGAATGAGAGGCCGGCAATGGAGAGACTGCCTGGAGAAAGATAATCTTTGAAAGCCACAGAACAATCTGCATCCGTCAGTCAGCAAGCAAGCAGCGGTGAAGTCATTGCAGTGAATCAGAATCGAAAGAGCTGTCAGCGACTACTCAAACTTGCGCTAGCAACGCCCTGACTCCCACTATTAAAGAGTAAAGCATGGGTTATTCATTTATTAATAAGAACATGAGTGCCATACTCTACTCTGTTTTCTTGCTATGCAAGAGTTTATAGCGCTTCCACTCTCGTATCAGCCCAATCAGGTGTGGAAAGAAGAGCGGCAAACAGAGGGGAGCAAAAATGGCGAGAAACTGAGGTGCCGAGAACCGCAGGGGTTCCATGAGCGTGGGATCAGTTCGCAAGACCTGAAGATGATCCAGAGCATCTTCGAGAATGGTCAAAGCTTGTAGCCAGTGTTGTTGAGAAGTTTGTTTGTTGTCGCTGGCACTTTCCACGTGCCGCGCCACTTCTTGCATGGCTTGGACCAGTGTTTGCCACTGTGCCGCAACGGCATCATCAATGACCACCCATGTCGACGACTGCAAGAGCCAATCGGCTTCGTCCCGAATTTCTCGCTTTACTTGTTGATAGACTGTTGCAACGGTTTGCTGGAGCCATGTTTCCGATTGCCACTGCGGCAGACTCCCATCGGATTCAACTTGCACATCATCATCATCTGCATTGTTGATTGTGGTGGTTGCCCCCATGCACTGTTGGAGAAGGAATTCTCCGAGTGGTGCCATGGCATCCTCTACGAGTTTGTCGATTGAAACGGGCAATTGTTCGTGGGTTGTTTCCTCCCGCGTTTTTGTGATTGTCTCGTTTCCATCTTGTTCTGTGGTTGTGATGGTTTGTGTTTGTTCGACCGTGAGGGTTTCTGGTTGCCCAATGGTGGTGACCAAGGTGGAATCGGCATACATGGCAGGACTGGCTGTTGTCGTTGTGTCGTCTTGGACAAAATGCAGGGGTGTCTTTTTGGGAATGTACAGAATGACATTCCATGAATTGGAAGTCTGTCGATCCACAATGGAATCTTGAACATCTAGCGTCGATACTAACCGTGGGCCACTGTTATTGTTGTCTTTGGACTGCGATGCCTGATTCTCTTGCAGAGTGCTGAGTATGACTTGCGTGTCAATGCCATTCTGTTGTTGCACACAAGGCCAAGCCAGTAAGGTTTGCTGATTGTTGTGGATCCAAGAAGCCAAGGCATCAGCCCAATCTTGCCATTCCTTTCGATGATGTTCCAACATGAGGGTCACTTTCAATGGTTTCCGTTGTCGTTTTCTTGCCGGAGATGATGATGGCAACGTTTTGAGCAAATTTTCGGTCAAGGATTGAATCTGCTCAGGATTATCCGTGTTTGGATACAACAATGTCACGCCCTCTTTGATTGTAATCTTATTTGCATCATTACTCGAAGATGGCGGACACAGCCAAACGGAATGTGAATTCGTGACAACAGTTTGCTGCTGTTGACAAACCTCGTTGATTTCTTCGGGGGTCTTTATCTGGAATGATACATGAGGTACTGATTGTTGTTGCTGTTGTGCAAATGAGGATTTGTATTGTTCGGACGTAGCAATCGCAAGAGGGAGGATTGGCAAAGCACTCAGATCCGTTTCCTCCAACACTCGCAGAGACTCTTGAATCAAGGCTCGCCCTCTTTGATAGATCGGCAGATTGTGACTGATTGGATCCTTGGTTCGGTATAGACCAAAGTACAGAGCTGCTAACGCCAACAGAAAAAACTCCACCACAAAGATTAACTGAATAGTCAATCGAGTCCCTGCCATTGTTCACTGTTGACTGTTGAACAGAGATATCTCTATAGCTATCTAGTGGTAGAACTGTTGGCTAATAGCTCTAGACATCGATGTAGCTGGGGATCCAACTGCTTCAGCTTGTGCCATGGTGCCGTGGTGCCATGGGATGTTGCTTTTGGCTGACGTCATCAACGGGACCCCACACAAAGATCCACAATGACAAACAAAATCTGAACAACGCCATCTTTCGCAACACTGCAGCACTTTCACTACGGTACGTAGTATCTATTGTGGGGCAGCAAGTCGATAGAGGTTAGCTAGCTCTCGTAGGGATGGTGAAGAACCCACTGCTCTGGAAATCCCTTTGGTTCCTGACTTCATCTTGTCGAACCAAGCTCGGAGCCACCGCCTTCACATCTGTAACATCATTGTCAAGATTCTCAGGGTTTCCTCTGTCCAACAGAGTACCATTATTTCAGGTTTTAGCAGCCTCCAGCTCTGCTACTACCAGTAGTAGTACCGGTAGCCACACAATGCCCAAGACCAGCAGTAGTCAAGAGAGCAAGGATGCCACTGGCGGGATCATGATGATTCTGTCTCCTGCCAAGACGCTCGACCTAGATCCACTGCCCAACAACCACCCAGAGCAAGACAACTACAACCAAAACATTCCGGATGCGACTACATTCACCATGCCAGATTGTCATACAGAAAATACACTGCGAGTGGTGAAATCCATGAAGACACGAACACAAAAAGAACTAGAAAAGCTACTTGGGATATCTGCCAATCTGGCCAAAAAGTCTCATGAGGTATGGTTTGCACATTACAACACAGTGCATGTATTCGGTCAGACAAGGTCCAACTCATTTTGGTCCAAACACTGACATTCTCTCACTTGTTGCTCGAACGCTTCTTCATTGTGGGCATTATTGATACCGGTAGTATTGGAACGACTTTCAAGAGGATCCCACTACTAGCAAAGACAGCAAGGAAACCACCCTCAAACCTGCTATCTATGCTTTTTCAGGGGCGGCCTATCAAGGCTTGCAAGCCCTGGAACGCTCCAAAGACGCCATTCTATACATGCAAAACAATCTACGCATTGTCGATCCGGTATACGGAATACTCAAACCCTTGGATCAAATGCAGGCATACCGATTGGAGATGGCCACTCGCAATCTCTTTGACGGCAATAATGGCAAAAAGAAGAAAAAGAATGACAATGACGACAACAAGAATGCCCTGCCATCCAAACTGAACGTGTATTGGAAGGATGCCGTCACACAACAACTGAGCTCCGAGCTAGCCACACGGCCCCAAGACAAACGGATACTGCTGAATCTGGCCAGTGATGAATACTCTGCAGCCCTGGATGGAACCATGTTGCAAAAGGAAACCCCCAGTGCTCAGTATATCAAGGTTGTCTTTCGCAACGAAGGACGAGTGATTGCCGTTCACGCCAAACGAGCAAGGGGGCTCATGGTTAGATATCTTGCCGAAAGACAAGCCACGACGTTGGAGGATGTCAAACAATTTGATTTGGAAGGATACAAACTGGTGGAGGACGACGAGGATGATGACGATGCCAGCACATTGATCTTTGATCGACCCAAACAAGCGCCACCGGCCAAAGCAAAAGCAGCAGGGAAGAAGCGTGCGAAGGATGAGGAACCCACAAATAAGAAGAAGCGCTCGACCAGGAAACGCAAATTGTGATAAAGGGTAAATAGCATTAACTAGCTGCTACTAGTAACTAGCTAGCTGCAGGATACTAGTATGGTGTAGCCAGGTATTGATGCCGGTAGTTGGTTTGCTTCCGCGTAATCCAACAGCTATCTAGACCCTCGTTCCGCAATTGCCTGGTTAGTTTCAACCCGGTCCACAAGGATCTGAGGATACCGGTATGTCTACGGTAGCAGTCTATGTATGTTACCAAGGAGCGGATCATGGCAGATAGCTGCAGCTAGTACGGTGTGCGCGTTCAGGTAGTAATGTAGCCTTGTTTAGTTGGTTAGCGTGATTATCTACATTGCGTTGAAGGTTGGTTCATTTTGCCAGCTTTTTCAGCTCTTTTGCTTAGCTAGCGGAGTGTATCTGTCAAGTAACACACACACAAACCATGAAGCTGCATGCATTGGTCCATTCAATTAATCATTGACTGTTCATTTTGACCCATCAGGGCCTCTTGGAGTTGCAGTATCTGTTGGTAGGTCAGCCGTTGCGCGAGGGATCAGCGCGTGGATCCTCTCATGAGTCGGCCTTGTAAAGCTTAGCAGAGCCTTGTTATCTTCTTCCTCGGAAGCGTCTTCGTCCATCCACAATCTTGTGTTAACCAGGAAAAAGTCGCATCGCATCGATGCAAGAGCCAGCAGCTGGAGCAGCTTAGCGCCCAAGCTTCCCCAGTTGCTTGAAAGTACCTGTCTTCTCTTCTTTAGACGACATCTCTCATTGCCTTGGTCAAGTGTGGCAACACTTCCGGGTCCGACAACATGGAGAGACAGGAGAGAGGACCTTCTCTCTTGTACTGAGACAAGAAGCGTTCGACAGCCTTGGTGGTGCGTCCCTCGGTCTCGACCATTTCCTCCATTCGCATGACCGTCTCAGGGGACAGGATCCCATGAGCGGTAGGGAACGAAGGAAGAGTATTGCAATCCGCCAAAACCGAGTTGGACAGCTCCGTATTGTATCGCTTGCGTGTGCGTCGTGTCTTGAGTTGCTTCTTGGTGCGATGGGCCGCCGTGGTAGGGCTGATGCTAGCGTGGTTCGGAATCATCTTCTGAGCCACCTTGCTGGGAGCGGATGATTGCGCAGGAGATGCCTTGCGAGGATACATGTTCAACTCAGAGCTTCTCTGCAGATGAGTCGGGACGCTGATGCTTCCTGCAAAACCAACACAGTCTTGTAGGCTAGTAGCGACCAACAGTGCTACAAGCAAGGCACCAGTCGAGAGGAGATTGCGGAGAACGGCCATTGTTGTTGTCGTTGTTTGTGCTACTGTAGTAGAGTGGCGATCTTGTAAAGAAGTTACTGTGGTTGAACTTGACAGCTTCTCGATTGCGTGCTATTAGCCAATCAGATAGCAGTGCCGTGAACGAAAGATACCGAACACAAAGTAGATTGTTTTGGTCGTTGTCAACTCTATCTAACTAGCTAGATAATCAAAGAGACGACCAGAAATTTAATGGCTTTCCAGTTTGTCTGTTGTCCCTTTTGTGGTCGACGTTTGTCTCTTTTTTCTTTCTTTCTGAATGTGTGTTGATGGGTGGTCTACCTACCTCACTCACTCGATGAGATCAGTGCGTGCCGGAACTGAGTAAGTGGTTTGTCTGCTGATGTACACGTGTTGTGGGTCGCTTGTTTTGATGAGTGCAATTGCATACGTGTTACTCCGCCCAAAACCAGCCCCGGACCAAACGATTGGTCGTGAATAAGATGTCTGACCGGCTGTTCTGGAGCACTGACGTGAGCGACAGATTTCGAACCTACGTAAGTTCAAGATCTACTACAACAAGTGTGGTACATGGAAGCACACCTGCTTTGGAATGAAGTTTTTTAAAAGGCTTTCCCATCCTTGCCCTTTAGAAACCCAAAAGCCCACTCTTGCTATTTTTAACGCTAGCCCTATCTGCTGTTCAAATTTCTCGAGAGCACACCTTTAGAAGACGCACTTTCTTGCAGTTGCAGAAGCAGGGGCCAACCAAGCTAGCAAGGGAAAGCAGAAAGCAGATTTCGTCGGGAAAGTAGAGTGCTGTGCACGGCAACGCAACGAGAGCTGACAATCCCGGAGTTGGGCTATGGAAGGCTACTCGTAGCTAGCTAGAAGAAGCCAGGAATCAGTCTTCTCTGTATCGGTACCGTACCAGTACCGTATTAATAGCCAGTTGGAGTATCAGGATCCTGCTACCCTTATCATTTCTGTTCCTGCAGCCATTGAAATTGCAATGAACGATCCACAAGCACCCACCATCCCCATGTCCAGCTTGCAAATCAGCAACAAGGATTCATCGGCAGGAGCAGACATGACTCGAGACCCTGAGCTGGAACCTGTATGGAGGGTAGCCGACCTTCTGTTGGGCTTGAGGGGGAGTCCTCCAGGAACACTGGCCAGCCTCAAGGAGGAAGAAATTCGAATGCTGATCACAATGGCTAGACCGGTTCTCTTGAGCCAACCATGCTTGCTGGAATTGGATGCACCCATGAAAATTTGTGGAGACGTTCACGGACAATTCACCGATCTACTAAGGTTGCTCGAATTGGGGGGATTCCCACCAGAAGCCAACTATTTGTTCTTGGGCGACTATGTAGACCGGGGCAAACAATCACTCGAGACTTGTTGTCTTCTTTTGGCCTTCAAAATATTATACCCGGAAAACTTCTTTATCCTTCGGGGCAACCATGAGAGTGCCGGCATCAATCGCATTTATGGATTCTACGATGAATGTAAGAGACGGTATTCCATCAAACTATGGAAGACATTCTCGGACGTCTTTAATTGTCTCCCAGCAGCTGCTTTGATTGATGAAAAAATTCTCTGTATGCACGGAGGATTGTCGCCAGAGCTTCATTCGCTGCAACAGATTGCCGATATAGAGCGACCCACCGATGTCCCCGATACTGGACTCTTATGCGATCTCCTATGGGCAGACCCCGACAAGGATATCTCAGGATGGGGTGAAAATGAACGAGGGGTATCATTCTGCTTTGGAGCAGATGCAGTCAGCAAGTTTCTGGAAGATCAGGATCTAGATCTCGTCGTGAGGGCGCATCAAGTTGTCGAAGATGGATACGAATTCTTTGCGGGGCGACAACTCGTAACCTTGTTCTCAGCTCCCAACTATTGCGGGGAATTTGACAATGCCGGGGGCATGATCAGTGTCGATGAAAACCTCATGTGCTCGTTTCAAATTCTCAAACCGAGCTCTCGGTCGGAGAGAAAGAACAATCGGACAGCCGCGACGACGTGAGGTTGGCTACGGCGAGAGCGATTGCAACAACAAAACACACAATTCACAGAACAACAAATCCTCCCGGCATCAAGGTCAATCGGGAACAGAACACCGTCAGCTTGCGAAAGACCCGGCTTCAAAAGAAACGTGCCGCGTCGCCACGAAGACGCCTACGGACTACAAGAAACGCTGCCTTTTTTTAAGCTACGGTATTTTTCTTCTACTGGTCGCCCGTGGCTCCTGCTTCGGTCTGTCCCTTGTGGTCTACTCCAATCGGCGCAGAGGAGACGAAAGCTTCAACTTCATTGCCCACATGTGGTTGGGCTGAAGCGAAGGGACGCCGTTGAAGGTCTCTTCGTGCTTTTCAAATCCCATAATACCAGCGACCAAGGTCGCCTTGTCGTCGACGGGAGGTTGCTTCCATTTCATTGTGACTTTCATGGGCACCGAATTGAGCCCCTTGAGCTTCTCGCGATTGTTGTCTTCCCAAAAATCTTCCTCCAGGACGCTCTCGTGTCCTGTCAAGAACTGAATCAACCAACCATTGTACTTTTTTGCGGCGTGGCCGCCAAATCCGCTTGGTCCATATTTCCAGCCATCGCCAATCATGAAGATGTCGGCCCAAAAGTCTGCGGCCTCCTGCAAACTCTTGCTGTCTTTGGCTGCATAAGTCTTCGCCAGCTGGACATAGGTCTGCTCCACATGATCAAACCAGTCTTCACTGACGTCGTACGGCAGCGAGCCCATGATGGGTTCCAGCTCCTTCCTCACTTTCTGGATCTTGGTCACCAGCCTATCCCAATCTTCTTGTTGACCGAGCATCTCCACTCCTTTGATTCCGCAGCCACGCAGTCCCATCTCGTAGGAGAAGAACTCCTGCATGGAAGCCATCAGGTTGATCTGGCTGGCAATGCCGTGGGTGGTGGTACTAGTGGAAAAGTCATTTTGCATGGCCTTGGCGAACTCAGGGACTTTGAGTTTTCCCGTTATCTCGGAGGACATTCTTGAGAAAAAATCTTCATAATCAACCTGATAGATGTTGAACACATCCACATCCACGCAGATATTCTCCTTGCCCTCGTGGTCAACGAAGAGCTCGCGCACTTTCTCGCTGCCGTATCCGCTTTTTGCTGCTTTGTCGACGCCTTTCGCGACGCGGCAGGCGACAGGGAACCACCAGTCCTCTGGTGAAGTACGGAGGTTCCAGTGGTTCTTCCATGACTCGTAAACACATGCAAAAATTCCTGTGTCTTCTTGGTAGAAGATCTCCTGGCTGGGCATCGAGGACCCAATGGCATACTCCCTACCGACCAGATCAGCCACCGTGCGAGAAGTGCCCCAAAGCGACGAAAAGTTGGAGGTGGTCGTAGGTAGCTTGTCTTTAGGCAGAGCCAGGTCGACAGGATGGAAAGGGATTTTGGGGAGGACGTTTTGGACAGCGGAGGCCTGGATCTTCATGGTTGTGTTATTGTTTTGTTTGTTTCGTTTTTGGATTCACTGATGGTCATATTCACCCCCAACACTCTCTTTCAAACGCTTCCCTCCTGTCGTGTGGGTTCGCTATGGATGGCAACCACCTACCGGTGCCCAGTCGGGCATTACATACAGACGCAAACGGATCTGACCTATCGTGGATACTATGTACTAGTACATGTATTAGATTAAGCCAGCAGAGAGAATAAGACGTTTTCATTAAGGGTCTCTTCCCTCAGCAATCAATACATTACAGTACAGTCAACATTCAGATATACAGTATATACTGGGGGGGATTCAGGAATTCAGTAAATATAACAGCGAGAATAAATATTGATTTTATCCCTAACCCTAACTATTCCCGTAGAATTGTACGTGCTCTAGTACTAAAATAGGGTTAGAGTTAAAAATGTGGGAACTGGAGTATTCTTAAATATTATAGAGCGAATAAATACAAGATTATAAATATAAGCGAGCGTTGACTGTAGTACCGCGCTATCTCTCATTGGCACATGACGGAAGAACTGGAGCGTTCCTCAATCGTGCATGACTTATATCGAAAACCGACCCTAATTTTGGGTCGGATTTAGGGGCCGATCCCACTTTAGGGTCGGGTTTCGAAACCGACCCTAAAATTAGGGACGGATTCTGAAAAAACGTCCCTAATTAAGGGACGGGTTTCGATTTAGGGGCGGGTTTCAAAACCAACCCTATTGCTACATGGAATTAGGGTCGGGTTTCAAAGATTTAGGGTCGGATTTGGGTCGGATTTAAAACTCACCCATGATTGAGGGACGCTCCAGTCGGCCATTCGAGAAGGTGGCTGGAGCGAGCTTTCTATTATTAATAACTTGCTGGCGCTCCGTCGTACTCGGTACCGGTGCTGGTAGTCTACAGCTACGAACCTCACGTATTCCAGGGATTGGTGGTGGAACATAAAGAATCTATCTATCTCGTTACCGCATGACGCATGGCACTGAAAACGAACAGTTTTGTCTACAGGCTTACTTGCCGGTAGATCCATTGGACAGCGCCGGCACTTGGTGATGCACAAGTTGGATAGAGTCCTATAGAGTGATATGCACTATAAGACCCACTGCAGATTAAGACCATCGTAATATTCTTGGATTTGTACAGTAACTTCTATAGTAACAGTTACACACAACCTAGCCACCTACCAGTACTAGCTAGCTAGCAGCTACTACGGTCGTAGGCTCGTAGCAGCTACTCGTATGCATGGTCCGTTGCTCAAGCCTTGTGTCCTCGAGTGTTGGCTGTGTCAACAGAGGAAGGAGTGCCGATAGCGATACTAGCTAGATTAGTAGAGGAAGCAGTGTTGATAGAGGAAGGATGGAGTGCGGATAGAGGTACCGGTATGGTGAACGTAGAGCTCTCTAGAGGTACGAAGAATGGAACATGCATCCAAGAGGAACAAGGAGTGTGGATAGAGCTACAGTAGCAAGAGGTGCTTATAGAGAGGTGCTACCAATAGAGGTGCTTATCATGTGCTTATGCATGTGCTTTGGGGCGCTACAGGGCCCTGTAGTTTTCACTCGATAGAGCCGGTACCAGTACAGTAGGATCCTACGTAGACTCAGTACTAGAGTCTACGCGTGACGTCATTTGGTCTTAATCTGCAGAGAAAAAGAATTCACTGAAGGAAGGTCAATATCTTCAACCGCCCGTAACTCCACCAATAAGTACACTATGAAGCTGCGAAATTTATGGCATACTCAGCTACATGTGCTCTACAGATTCCCCTACTTAACACTGCCAATTCCATATCCAGCTCCGAAGAGAATATTTCGGCGAAAGGTCAGTCTTAATGTGCATATCACTCTAGTGGGGTGATGTACTTCACTTCAACGTTGACTTGGATAGAGAGCCGAGCAATGGACGCCAATTAGTTCGAAAGGCCTTGTATTTTGCTGAGTCGAATCGAATCGATCGACAAAAAGATAAATGGGTTTGTCGTATTGGGCAGCTTCTCAAAGCAAGAATCGGCGTGCGCTTGCAGCAGCGGCACTGAGTTCTTCGCTTACTAGCTTGTGCCTTGCCTTGGATGCACGGAGTTGAGCTCTTGCGCTACGGCTGCCGTCCTTCAGGTCGACCACCCTTGCAGTTGCCTGTTCCATTCGGAATGAATTCATCGCCGCGTTCAATCGAGATAAGCCTTCCATGGCGTCGTCTCGGAAGCACTCTTCTTTGCTCTCTTCCTGGCTGTCGAGAGGGGCAATGGGAATGGAGAGTGGCGGAAGTTCCATGAACGCTTTGCCCAGAGCTGCGTTCTTCCATTTCGCAGCATCGCGAAGGGCATCCGAAAGCGCAGGCCGGAACAACGCAGCTTCGAGAACTCCAACTGATGCTAGAGATGTCATTTCTGCACCAAGGTTTGTTTGCGACGCTTGGCGCTTACCAATTGAACCAAGACTCTTCACTTCCACGGACGACTTGCGGCGCGCCTCAGGTTTTCCACTTCCGTGTCGCTTTGGAGACTTCATCGTATTCAACATTCTAATCTCACTCTCATAACCAGCGACTTGCTCTTGCAACACGTCCATGGCTTCCATGAGCTACAGCAGAACAAAAGAAAATCTGCCTTTAGACGCTTCCAAAATCGACCCGAAAGAACATTTTGAAAACCCGTCTGATCTTACCACGCGATTTTCTTCTCGCAAACTGTTCAGTTCCTCTGTTGATTTAGCAACACTGGTGATCTTAGCAGGCGAAGGTTTGGCGCTTGACTTGGTAAGCAACTTCTCCAGCTCAGACAGGCGTGCATTTTGCATGGCAATTTCCTTCGACCTGGTTGCGAGACTCTGCAGATATTCGAATCCGAAAGAACGTGCGATGCTTAGTAACAGACCCCTCGAACAGCTCTCACAACAGCACCTGATACGCACCTTTTCTAGACTAGTCACCTTCGAATTTGCCAGAGACAGTTTCGGTTCATTGGCCACGGCTTCTGACAAGCGATGTTCGATGGATCTGGCGCGCATTAGGAAGTTGACATCGTCCTCGTCACCATCGACTGTACGAACGCTCCTTGCCAACCGCGACAGGCCATACCAGCTATCCCTCGCTTCTGGGGACAACGGGTGATAACATCCAACTTCCTCCGAGTTCAGTTTAGCAGCTCGCAACACAGTTGAAAACTGGGACAACAACTTGGCTGCTGCTTCGGCATCGGCAGCACAACCTCTGATATCAGCCACGGAAATGCGATCAGCCTCGAGGAAAGATGTTCGGACGCGAGCTTGGAGCTCGTTACACGCGTCACGCAACTTGCTGCCTTGAGCCAAGTACCGTGAAATCTCGTCTCCTTTCTGGACGTCAAGAAAAGCCAAGCGTAGGCAAATTTGGCTCGCCTCTGATCCCAACGAATCAAGTTTCGCGAGCAAGGATTTAGCTTCTGATCCAAAAAGTCCTGTTGCAGCTTCACTCTTGCAGGCAACTCCGACGGCGGCGGCAATCCCGAGGCAAGAGTACTTCACCGTCGTGACGCACTGGAACAACTCCATGCCAGGCGGTTTCCAGTCATGGGACAAGGAAACTCCCCCCGACTCCTCGAGATTTTCAAGATCACGTGTTGCATTCTTTGCTGCTTGACGGAGGGTGTCAACATTCGATTGGTGGGTGTCGATAACACCCTCCTCTTTCAACGATTTCAAAATGGCGCGAAGCGTTACATCCAACTCATTCATACTGTGGCCCAGCATGGATCCGAGGGCAACAGATTCTTGCTCCGACAAGAGGTCGGGCCACTGACCTGCTGCAAGCAGTCTAATTGCGTCTGAACCAGTACCAATAAGAACGTTGGCGCACTCGGACTGATGAATCATGTTCGCCAAGTCCTGCTTGCTCTCGTCGGACAGTTGCAAAGTGTTTTCATTTTCGTCGGATCCTGAGGCCGGTTCCGTGTCCACGGGGACGTTTCGAAATCTTTTGTGGAATGACGATGCAATGCCATCCAGTGCACTGGCGGCAAGCCCAGCAACACTCGACACCAGAAGTTCTCCCCTGATTGCAGCAAGCTCTGAACCTGCAACACCTTTCGGGAGCAATCGTTCCAGTCTGCCAGCCATGTGCTTTTGGGCTTGTCCTTCAACTTTGTCCAAGGCTGCCAACGCTTCTTTCTTTCTCATTTCGGCTGCGTCCTGAACGAGTTGGGCAGCGCGGGCTAGCGCCTTTTGTGACGAAGCGAGCAAGCTACTCTTTTCTCCTTCGCCACCTTGTTGCATCTCCATGAGGGCTTCCTTCTCCCTCTTCAAGGTCTCCACAGTGCTGCGATAGTTTCCAACTGTGCGGTTGAAATCTTCTTCGCGCCTCCTCTGCATTTTGATTGCCTCTTCCAGATTTCGAATCACAGTGTCTCGATCCTCCAGATCTCTATTCATGGCTTTCAGCTCCTCAGCTTGCACTTCTTCCATCTCACTTGTTAGCTCTGCAGCTTCTTCGAGTTCCCTCACTGTAGTTGCCAAAGAAACATTTCGTTCTTCCATCTCCATGACTTTATCAGACAAGTCCTCCACCATTCCTTCAAACACAGCACCCTGATCCACCATATCTTTTAGCTCGCGGACTTCTTCTTGGTATTTTGCCAGTAGTCCTTCCTTGTCAGCATTCTGTTTGACCTGTCCTTTTACTGCTTCTGCCTCCTTCTCGATTGCCTTAATTTTTCGATTCAGCTCCATCTTTTCAACTGACGACTGCTCTCGAAGGCGAATCAGAGCTTCCCTCAAACGAGCATTTTGAATGGACAATGCCTGTGCCATGTCATCGGATTGTGCACTACTGGCGCCACCAGAGGAAGCCGCGGCGGTACTCATCTCCAGGGAAGACCCTGCTCGTTCCGCAGCAGCCTTGGCCTCTTCAAGCTCCATCTTGAGTTCTTCTACTTCCATTTGAGCGGTTTCCGCGTCAATCTTGATCTCGTCAAGTTTCTCAGACAACCCTTCATTTTCTTCCTGTAATTGCTCCTTGTCCAACGCAAGGTCTTCCAGATTGGAATCAATTTCTACTCTTTCATTTTTGAGATCTTGGACTTCTCTCCTGAGTGCCGCAATCTGAGCTTGGAGAACAGCCTTTTCCTTGTAGTGAGAGGTATCGGAGACCCCCTTTTGCTTGGATTGCTCAGACAGAGCCTGCAACTCATTTTTGTATGCCAAAGATTCGGCTCTGAGTTGCGTAGCCTCCGTGCTGTGCTCTGATTTTTGCTTTTCCATTTGCTTTGTCAACTCTTTTATTTTTCCCTCGAATTGGATCACTTGCTCTTCCAAAATCTGTTTTTCTCTGGTCCAGGTCTCAGGTTCAGGCTCGTTGGATGCTTCCTCTTTGCTGGGAGGTGGAGACGACGCCTTGGTTTTTTGCTGTAGAGCTTCATTTTCACTTTCAAGATTTTTCACCGATTCTTTGGCACTTTCTAGCTCTTTCTCGACCGAAGCCAAAGTTGCTTTCATCGAATCCAATGCTTCATCCTTTGCATTTAGTTTTTCGTTCAATTGATCTAGAGCCGCACTGCTGTCGTCACGGTCCGTGCCAATTGTAGCTCTGCGCTGACGCAGTTCATCCAGACGAGACTGTCTTCCAGTGGGGGTAGACGCTGCAGGGGAAGCCGTGGAAGCTCGTCTAGTAGCGGAAGCCGTGGAGGAAGAAGATGATGTCGCCAGTTCACGCCGCAGACGGAGCTCCTCGATCTTTGTCAGTTTTCTGGATTCCACCGCTGCCTTTCGAATGAAAAGGCCACAGTTGGCAGGGCATTTGAAGTAACTTTGTGACTTTACAGTTCCATCGTTCTTGCCTTGGCCAGCACTCTTGCCTGTCAGGCGGACTCCGACCCAGTCATCGCCCTCGGCAAACTCGACCTTCCCAACAAAGGCCACAACACCTTCCAGCTTTTTGCCTTCGCGGTTAACAAACACGGGATCGTTTAACGAATAATCAGGCATCGTGCTTCTTGCCTCTCTCGCCCAACAGTTTGTTTCAGACGTCGACCTTTATGCTGCCGCAAAAGCGACGGAGAAAGGATGCACTTTTAGATAGTAATATCGTGGACTGCTATTGTAGCAAAAATAATAGGAGTAATGCACCCGAAGATCTTAGCTTTACGTTAATATTATTAGCTTACAGTAGCTAGACAAGCTACAGTAGCTAATCCATACCGTATTCTGGTTCGGTACAGTCTACTCTCGTTTAAATCAGAATAAGTTAAATCATACTCTCAGTTAAATCAAGACTTGTTGTAATTCCCCCCAACAGTCACTAGTAGCTCATGACTAAGATTTGTTATGGTATTGTTAGGGCTAGGGTTGATTTCTGAGCTACATCTACGTACACCCGGTACTAAAAGTGTTATATCAGACTCTCAGTTATATCATGACTTTCCCTAAATCCACCCCTTCTGATATAATTGAGAGTAGACTGTAGTCTACATTGTACATGCTATGCCTCCAGCTTGCTTGTAGGCAGACAGCACATGACGTGGGGGTTCGACCGTAGCAATAGATGGCAATCTAGCCAGGGGTACCTGGTAGTTAGATAGTAGCAAAGCACCTTCCGGAGTTTTTAAACTTCTCTGGTGGGGGGCTTGCACTAGGCCCGTTCCTACGTGGGTGCCTTTGTGTGTCTGAGGTACGCGGGTTCGTTATGGCTCCGTTCAGCGGGAAGTCTATCGAGGAGCAGCCTAAATAATAATGCTTCGATATTTTTTTAGACAGACAGCACATGACTTGAGGTCTGATGAACTTTCCAATTACAAGCACCACATTTTAAAAAAATTGTAGTACCAGTATGCAATGAATGGAAAAATGGGAAGCTGCCAAGCTGCCTTGGCCGACACCTTGAATACAGTTCTCAGTAGTTGGATGTGGTACTAGTTTAAGGCTAGTGTTGAGCCAGCGAAAATTTACACTTTTTCTGAACCTCAGAAAAGAACATCACCATGGCCACTGCCGACGGCATTTCGGAGATGAAGAAACTAGTAACACCCCCAATATTATGCACCGAATCAGTAGTAATAGCACTATAGATGAGGGGATAACAAGTCAAATGGGTGTATACCCTTTCTGAATAGTCGAAATCGTCCATTATTGCTAGCCATCGTGTTGTTATTAGATTTCGAAAAACCAGAGCTGCTGTTGTAAAGGTGGTTGTCGCCGCTGTTAGGCTCCACGGAAGTGGCTCAACACCCTTGCATTCGCTTCAGTAGTATGTCGGAGGACACCTACAACATCAACAAGCTCATCGACCAGGCATGCATCAGGCATCGTTGAAGTGTCAGATGGCAAGGTGAAAGTTCCACAAGCTATGTCGCTAGTTGGAATCAGAACACCTGACCGGAAGAACATGACACTGTATCAGCGCTGTCGCCGCAGAGCCATCAAGCTGCAAAAGGATGCCCAGAAAGCAACACCACCATCTCGAGTAGTGCAGATTGTTGCTGTTAGCTCTGATGTATCAACAGTTACTGGCCCAAATGATAGCGGATCAAAAACCACAACAAGTCGCTCTTCTTCCAGTTCCTCTGATCCAGAGAAAGATCGACTTGATGCAGCTCTGGCAGTGGCATCTTTGTCTGCTGCTGGAGGAAATGTTAGCAAAAAGAGGCACATGCGAACAGCCAAAGAAGTGATGAGAGCACATGCAAAAACAGCGTCCTTGACCAAGAGAGACAAGAATGCCATGAAACTGATCACCAAGCGGATTGTGAAGACCAACAAACTGCCAAAGGGACATCCAGAGAAGAAGACTATTCGAGTAATCTGTGATGAAATCAATTCCAGCTACAACGCCAATGTCAATCCTAAAACAGCAGCACGGTATGTGAGGAATGGTCTTGTGGGAGTTTCCCCACTGAAGAGAGGTCCTGTTGGCGACTTTCCTCCCCACGTCTACAAAGCATTGAAAGGAGCATACACAACTTACTTGAAGTTAGAACAGGCCGAAAGCAAGAAGCAATCCAACACAAAACAGATGTCTCGCCTAGTCAACTGCGTCTAAGAAGCCTGATATGACCTTTGGTCAAGATAAGGGGCAAACAGTAGTAGGTCAAAATTTGACATAGACATGGTCTCGTCTTACAAAGGATTATGTCCAAGGTAGCAATATGGACCTTTTCCCCCAATTCAG